AAGCCAGTTTAGGTTCGTTGGGATAACGATGTGATGAGGCGATTCAGTGACAGGAAGGCTTGGTTTCGGTCTAAACTGAATCGGGGCGTCTAGAGGGCATAGACTAAAGATATCGTGCACAAACCTCAATCCATCTCCGGTCCAAACAACCATGATCACCTGTAACTCGTCTGTGGATTATGCTGAAGGGAACTATGTATTGTCTTACGAAGGAACAACAAGCAAGCACATGCATGTAATTTTTCGGGTCATGTTCAGAGCCGCAGGTGCGCACGAAATCTGCAAAACAAAATGGTCATAGAAGACTGAACTGAAGTGATAATGGGATTGAGCGAGTGCTCATCTAAATTGGTCCCAAAATTTAAATCTTTCGCGCCCAGTAGGTTTGGAGTTCCAAAAAACAAGAACAAGGAGAGTGGTTATCAATCAGTGCAACGGTCGTCACATCACGTTCACTCATGGGGACCCCGTACATACGAAATCACACAGGGTGTTCTGAATTGCTGTCTGCAAGAACAAAGCTAACTTTTCAAACCAGTAGGTGCAACCGTGCTCAACAGGAGTTTGTGGCTGATTGTTGTGACGCACTTTTATCAGTTAATGCAACTTCAACACATTGACTACTCGGATGGTAAAGCTGAACTATAGCGGGACAGGTGGGATAAGTGAGCAAGGAAAGTAGGGGAGAGGGCGCATAGTGGATAGAGTAAGGACTAAGCATTGATAATAAGGTATGTTCTTGGGACTCACGTCGATTATGACATGCGGAACCATCAAATCCACACTCTGGTATAGCCGGAGGAGGTTGATTCTTGGCATTAATCCAGTCTACTTCACGTCCTGGCAGGGTGCGCATTGATTTGTCCTCACCGAAATAATGAGCTACCGGCTGCATTTTGGTACAATCGGGGCGGGCATGGAGAAAGGACGGGAGAGAGAGAGATGTACAGTGGGACTGAGATGGTGAGCAACTTGTGCCTGATTTTATACCGATAGTAATAAGGATGTTGAGTTTACCAGGTATTAAGTTTAATCGGACAGAACGCTAATTCGTATCGAATGAAACTAAAGATGAGTACCGGAAGCCTGTCTAAGGTTACTTGTCCCAGTTCAATTCGCACGCGTTTGAGACCATTGTGGATAAACTAATATAAATAAACTTCAAGCAGGAGTCATGAAATTTGTCCTTGAATGACCCAACTATAAAAAATAATTGAACATCAAGTTACAGTTCATGTATACGCATATCTCACGACAAATCGGGGGGGGGGACCGAGAACAGCCACCATCCTTGAAAAACCATCGGTTTCGCATGATAGATCTGAAATTTTGTTCTGGAAAAAAACGTTTTAATAATGAGATCATTGTACCATTGAAATGCTTGTTTATCGCTTTTCCCTCACGCCTACAAGGATATGTTTCAGCCGCTTGTTCATTTATCATTTATCACACTTAAAAATAACAAGTGAGTAAGGGAGGATTCGATTCAATTTCAAAGTGGAAATTCGTCGAGTATATAGGAAATGAAGCATAAACTGAAAAGCTCGAAAGCACACACAGCTGTTTCGATCTGGTGTGTCTCATCAGCAGTGCGAATCCATCGACCCAACTGGAGATCGAACCCAGGACCTCATGGGCAGAACGTGAGCATGCTACCCACTCGGCTATGTGGCGCTGATCAAACCGCTTTCGATCCCCACTTCGCTTGATGAAATACACAACGTTAATCTGGTGCACACGTTCTCAAGAAAGCCACGAGGGTTCAATTATTTCAGTTTTCACTTTTGTATGTAATGGTAATCTGTATCAATTTACCGCCACCGGGATCACAGGTACTTTGAATCAACACTCGGACGTGCCTGCTAGAGCCTGTTTCGCTAGTTATCATGGCTGTTGTCTAGGAACTCTTTGCACAAAATGACGTTTGAAACTAATGAGAGACCTTTGAAGGACACTGAGGAAATTACGTGTATGCGCATGAGAGTGACCGAAGAGTAATAGATGAGCCACAGCTCTGTAAAAATGACTATCTATTTTAGTTTCAGTAAAAATAGGCATGGAGAAACAATTTTCCATTTGACATTTCGAGCGTTATTAATGAGCACATTAATTGGAACTCCGTTGGTATCAATCGCGATCTACAAATCACCGAAAAATGAGTGACGGCACCACCACCACACTTTTTATACGCCCTAGGTGACTAAAAATCAACTGTTTTATCTGAAATCTGTGACAGATTTATTTAAGTAGATAGTCAGGCAGGGGCTGCCTCACAAGCACAGTTTTACCTGTCGTCACGTAAATGAAAGAATGATGATCTGTCTTGTCTGACAACCACGTGACACCTTCCGTGAGGCATCCTCATTACATAATCTCAAATCAGTGTGCAGTACAATTATGCTAAAATGAAATAAGGTCGGTAACAGATCGGTTATTCTGTACGATCAAATTAGACATCGCAGCGGCTAGATTTCTCTTGAGATGGGCATATTTTCAGTCGACAGAGCGCAAACGTTTTTCTACCATCAATTTATTACATTCCCTTATTGTAAAAACTTGAGCATCTTCCATTTGCATTCCGTTTGGTTCTTGCGGAATTGCTCATTACTATCACGATTACGATAAGACACATAACAAACTTTCACTGGCTATTCATTTTATAAGATCAGAATTCTTCATTGATTGCTGTCTCCAGTATAAGGCTGGTATTTTTTCGATTTTCAACTTTTAAAATTAATTCCATGCACGGTTCTAGTACAGATATTAACAGGACTTCCGCAACTTGAAGTGCACCTTTTATCAAAACCCTAACGTGTGCCGCCACCTCTATCGCGTCGCTGTCACTATCTGAGAATGGCGTATTAGCCAGCACCCAGTAGAAGTTATTGGCTCCCAAATTGTTCTTTTTATCTTGGTGTCTCTTTCCATAATCACGTGAATTCACGTTCTCCTTGTAGCCGAACAGGATGTGATCGTCATCATGGAAACTATATTATCGTGCAAACTAATAAGCTTTATTCGTCATTTTCTTTCATAGTTTATATCACCTTTTCATCATTACGAATTCTCTTCATGGTTGGGATCCAAACGAAATGCCAGATATCAGCAGTGGGAGCACGTGCGTTTTACCAGGCGTATGCGTGGCTCAAACGCAATATTTCTTTATCGTAGGTTTCCAATATCCCACACTGATTTGCGATAGAAAGGGTCTCAGTTCCTACTCTGCCTGTGGAAGTTATTCCGATGTCCGGTACTTTATACACACGCAAACCTGTTCCACTACACGGCACGAGAGCAGGTTCGATCGACTGAGTGACAATGCATAAACAATTCATGATGTATGTCACACACGCAGGTACAAGCACACGCACATAAGGATTCCCTCATGGATTCACCATCGACTGGTATCGTTTGGCCAAGCTAGAGCTACCCTGGACGCATCGTGTTGGGCTAGCTCGTTTGCACCATAGACAGCAAGCCATGCTACGCTGCGCTGATCCGTTTGTGGTGATGCGTGTGGCGCGTCCAACAATGCATCCATGCAAGTACGTGCGCGTCTTGTGACTGGCTGAGAGACCGATAAAGCAGCCCACCGTAAGTGCATCCATACCCCTCACAGTGCGTATACCTCGCATGAGCTTATTTGTTGATTGGTTGTTCTTTTCAAGGTCGTTTCGTTCTATGCGAACGCAATGGGAGCGAGTGAGCAACGAAGCGAAAATTTCCCCAATGTCTCAGATTGAACAGCGTACACACACACGCACATACAAGTAAACGACGGTCAGAATCAATAGATTGGCCGGAAAGCCAAAGTGACATACCTGAAAAGTGCTCGTTTGCGGATCCATATCTAAGAGGGAAAAATCTGCGTTACGATCTCCATTTGCATTCATCCGCACCGTTCCAGTAACACCTGGGAACAAAGGAATTCGGTGAAACTCGTACCACGTGAACCCAAAGTCGCAAATACGAGGACTGGAAAGCTGAATGTGACAACGAAATGTCATGACTACAATACAAAAAACAGTCATATTTTCCTGCATTCAGTTGGCCTTGTTGAGAATTATCTGCGTTGAATGACGAATTTCTCCACGGTTGATGCACTATGCTATGTAGGGCGATGAAGCCGTTCAGACTGACTTACAAATTCAATAAGACTTATATTTTTAAACTAATCCGTCCACGAAGCAATCAAGGTCCTCCATTCTGAGTTCAAAGCGTTTCAACAAACACTTATCCCAGGTAAGGCCAAGAGTTAACTTGTGGAGAAAGATAAGATTGTACCGAAGTCCACGAAATTTCGACACTGCCCGGTGGTTTATGGTGAACCATTTACCATATCGATTTACCATGAATCCGTAATATATTGTGAAAAATGACAGATGACTAAATTAGACCACATGCACACGATTTCGGCCGTTCGACAAACATACATGATCTGATCAAGTATCATGAACAATAAAGCCGTATATTGTGCTCCTAATCTGTAAACATTCACTAATGGTAATAATAATATTTTACCAGTGGTTTGAAATGCAATAAAACAACTGATAAGCGGCAAACAATACTTTCAAAATACATGAATTCTGGTGCTTCGGTTGATCGAAATTTGAGAACAAGAATACGAGTACCATTGTCGATAGTCGGGAAGGGGACTGATTATTTCTGTACCATAGAGATTATTGGTGAGAAATTGTTCCATTGTATTGTATTGTATTGTATTTGTAACTTTTGTAAGCATATATGCTTACATTTCAGTTAAAAATGTACATTCCATTAATCAAGGTTTGGGATTTGAATTTAAAGCACAATCTGACTCTCCGGATCGAAAGCGAATGAACAAGAACTAAAAATGTATGTAACAAATTTCAATGCGCAGCCTGTGCAACAGTTTGTGGGTGAGCGAGCGGGAGAAAAGGTTATGCATGAAACTGTATTCTGTCACTCAATGTCAACAGGTTGTCGGTAGGCTCAGAGTACTTCACACGTGACGCTAATCGATTTGTTTAATCGATGTACGCGAGACTACCAACAGTGGTGAGCTCATTGCTTTTAATATTATTGTTACTGTCATTAGCATTTTTGATATTTCGATATATTAATAAAGGAAAAGGAGAATGCTACAAATGCCCGTCATATTCTGATTACAATGATACACCCATTTCACAGGTAACCGCCCACAGGATAGGTTCATGTGATATTGCCTCGAGAAACTCAGTAGAAGAATAATCACATGGTGGAGAACATGGTGAAGTGTACACAAGGGGACAATATTTAGTGTATGTTTTTACCTGTTTCTTCATTCTTTATGGAACCAAGACAAAGATCACTTCCTTTTGGCACCGCGTTTTTCTGCGATCGGGGTGCAAATTAGACTAAGTCGAGTAGAAAGTTCAGTTCAGTTCGGATCTTACAACCATTAAACATGCACTTTCGTGCGCCGGTTTTGGTTGCTGTCTTTCGGTTGCCCATTTGGATAAAACAGCAGAATGATGATTAGACTGTTGAGAGCAGATTCAAGCGAAAGATAGCACATTTTCATAGACTGAAGTTACAAGAATAATGAGTAGATGCATGAGCGAAACTGTTTGCGACACCCAACCATATCGCTCAGTGTCTAATCATCGGTGGCCATGATCTCTGGGTCCCCAGCTAGGGAGCCTAACGAGACCTATAAGAACTAGTCTCCTGGTCAGGGTTTTCATACCCCCATGCCAGGTCTTAGATTGTCGAGTAGAAAGAGAATGTTCGTATCCATAGCGTCACGAAGGCAAAATAAGCCAACCAGCTAACCACGCCACACTGATCAAGGTAAACCGCCGTATAGCATCCATGTGTCGTACAACGACCGTTTCTCTTTCTCTTTTTCTGATAAACGGTTGTCCAAAACTACGC